CTTAGCTAGCAGCATGCCTTGACACGGCCTCGTCCAGCAAGCATGGCATGGCATGCCAACGCCTTGGCCAGCAGCATTCGATGCCCAGTCCTTAGCCAGCAACATGTCATGCCAAGGACTCAGCCTTGGGCAGTAGCGTGCCATGCCAACGTATTGGCCAGCAGCATGCCTTGTCCGGCAGCATGGCATGCCATGCCATGGCCTTGGCCATCAGCATGCCTTGCCGCGGCCTGTCCAGCAGCATGGCATGCCCTGGCCTCAGCCAACAGCATGTCATGCCACGGCCTTGGCAAGCATGCCAAGCCACGGCCTTGGCATGCATGCCATGTCCCTTGGGTAATTGCCATTAGGTTTGGCTTTGACTTACATACAAGTTGCCTTGCGAAATGCATGTCCCTCGATTAAATTGCAATTTGGTTGGCTTCGACTTACGTACAAGTTGCCTTGCGAAATGCATGTCCCTCGGTTAAATTGCCATTCGGTTGGTGTGAACGAGTTGCCTGTGCTTTCCTAGTGGAAGCTTGTTGCGATAAGTATGTCCCTCGAAAGTTGCCTGTTGCGTTTGTTATTTGCATTCGCGATAACCGGTGCTTGCTCGGTTTCTGTAAATGTTTTCGCGCATTCGTCGGGCTTCTTAGTCCTTCGGGGGGTGATTCGTTTTGGGGGGCTGGTGCATAGTGTACGTCGTGGCGCGTGAGTTGTGTTTGGTTTCTGCAAGTTGGATGGATCCCTCCCTGTGCAGCGAACTCCACTGGTGCATTCCTCTGTGTCCCTTGGGTAAGTGACTTTAGGTTGTCTTCGACTCGCATTCAAGTTGCTTGCGCATCCCTAGTGGAAGGTGCCTTGCAAAAAGCGTGTCCCTCGGGTAATTGCCATTTTGTTGTTGGCTTTGACGTGCGAACGAGTTGCCTGTGCTTTCCTAGTGGAAGCTTGTTGCGAAAAGTATGTCCCTCGAAAGTTGCCTGTTTTGTTTGTTATTTGCATTCGCACTAACCGGTGCTTACTCGGCTTCTCTAAATGTTTTCGCCTGTTCGTCGGGCTTCTTAGTCCTTCGGGGGGTGATTCATTTTAGGGGGTTGGTGCGTGGCGCGTGAGTTGTGTGTGGTTTGTGCGAGTTGGACGGATCCCTGCCTGTGCAGCGATTTCCACTGGTGCATTCCTCCGTGCCCCTCGGGTAAATGCCTTTAGGTTGTCTTCGACTCGCCTTCATGTTGCCTGTGCTTCCCTACTGGAAGGTGCCTTGCGAAAAGCGTGTCCCTTGGGTAATTGCCATTTGGTTGGCTTTGACTTACGAACGAGCTGCCTGCGCTTTCCCAGTAGAAGGTTGTCGCGAAAGCTATGTCCCTCGGAAGTTGCCTGCTGCCTTTTGTTATTTTCAGTCACGCTAACCGGTGCTTGCTCGGCTTCTGTAAATGTTTTCTCACGTTCGCCAGGCTTCTTAGTCCTTCGGGGTGTGATTCGTTTTGGGGGGCTAGTGCGTACTGTACATCGTGGGGCGTGAGTTGTGTTTGGTTTGTGTGAGTTGGATGGATCACTGCCTGTGCAGCGAACTCAACTGGTGCATTCCTCTTCATCATCCGCGGGATTCCTACAGGTTGCCTGCGCCTTCCCTGGTGGAAGCTCCTTGTGAAAAGTTATGTCCCTTGGTTAATTGCCATTCGGTTGCCTTTGACCTGCATACAAGTTGCATGCGCTCTCCTAGTGGAAGCTCCATGCGAAAATTTATGTCCCTTGGTCGGTAGCCATCCGGTTGGCTTTGGCTTGCCTACAAGTTAGTTGCCTGCGTTTCCCCAGTGGAAGTTGCGTTGCGAAAAGCATGACCCTCGGGTAATTGCCATTTTGTTGGCTTTGACTTCCGAACGAGCTGCCTATGCTTTTCGAGTGGAAGCTTGTTGCAAAAAGTATGTCCCTCAAAAGTTTTGCCCGTTGCCTTTGCTACTTGCAGTCCCGCTAACCGGTGCTTGCTCGGCTTCTCTAAATGTTCTCGCACATTCGTCTAGCTTCTTAGTCCTTCGGGGTGTGATTCGTTTCGGGTGGTTGGTGCGTAGTGTACGTCATGGCGCGTGAGTTGTGTTTGGTTTGTGCGAGTAGGATGGATCCCTGCCTATGCAGCGAACTCCTCTGGTGCATTCCTCTTCATTTGTGCTTAGGGGCAAAATCCTGCCTTCTGCCTCGCGTGGGTTCCTGTGTTGCCTATCTAAAGAAAAGGAATTCGGTCCGTATCGTGTGCCTATATTCGTCTCGCGACCCCGTGGCGCTGGGTGAACCCCAAAGTATCTCCCACGTTCCGTGCAGTCCTCTTACGTTGCCGTGTCAGTGGCATGGCCCGCGGGTAGTTATACTCGTGCTCTCGGATTCAGAGCCTTGTGCGGGTACACGAGGTCTTCGACCTCCGTTTCCCCGCCAAGCGTTCGTCGCTCGTTGCGGGCTACGGCCGCGCCTGCCTCTGACCGTGGCGGCTACGCTTGCCTCTGACTGTGGCGGCTACGCCTACCTCTGACCGTGGCGGCTCTGTCGAACGAGCTTATACAGTGCCGGCGTCGTAAAGAAGGAAAGCTACCTAGTTGATCCTGCCAGTAGTCGTATGGTTGTCTCAAAGATTAAGCCATGCACGTGTAAGTATGAACTAATTCGGACTGTGAAACTGCGAATGGCTCATTAAATCAGTTATAGTTTATTTGATGGTATTTGCTACTCAGATAACCGTAGTAATTCTAGAGCTAACACGTGCAACAAACCCTGACTTCCGGAAGGGATGCATTTATTAGATAAAAGGTCGACGCAGGCTACGCCTGTTGCTTTGATGATTCATGATAACTCGACGGATCGCACGGCCTCTGTGCTGGTGACACATCATTCAAATTTCTACCCTATCAACTTTCGATGGTAGGATGGTGGCCTACTATGGTGGTGACGGGTGACGGAGAATTAGGGTTCGATTCCGAAGTGGAAGCCTAAGAAACGGCTTCCATATCCAAGGAAGGCAGTAGGCACGCAAATTACCAAATCCTGACACAGGGAGGTAGTGACAATAAATAACAATACCGGGCTCTTTGAGTCTGGTAATTGGAATGAGTAAAATCTAAATCCCTTAACGAGGATCTATTGGAGGGCAAGTCTGGTGCCAGCAGCAGCTGTAATTCCAGCACCAATAGCGTATATTTAAGTTGTTGCAGTTAAAAAGCTCGTAGTTGGATTTTGGGTTGGGTCGACCTGTCCGCCTCAGGTGTGCACCGGTCGTCTCGTCCCTTCTGCCGGCGATGCGCTCCTAGTCTTAATTGGCCGGGTCGTGCCTCCAGCGTTGTTACTTTGAAGA